TTAATAAAAAATGACTTAGCTAGATTGAAATTTTTTGCAGTGCATAGCATCACTGAAGCCTCTGCACTCTGGGCCAGGAGCCTAACAGCCCACAAATTCGATTGTATCTGAAAGAAAATGTGCACAAACCATTGTTCCCGGACTGCCAAATCATTAATGCATTCATATTTGATTCGATTTGCCCCCAATTTGCCTTTTTAACTTCGTTCTTAGATTTTAAAACGTCCAGTGAAGCTGCACAATCATGGTCTGATTCTATACAACAAAATAAATGAACGCTTGCTGCTCCTGCAGGAATCAACATTTAATTAAACAGAAATCTGAGGTGCAGGATTGGTTGGCTGGGATAGAAAGGGGAAGGGAAGCAAAGGGAAGCGTGTCCATCTGTTTGTCACAGCAGTTGTCCTCATTGGCAATCTGTTTCACAGTGAAATCTTGAAGCAATAAAAAAAAAAAAAAACTGTAACCATTGTTTCTGTGAAGCTGGATGCAAGACATAGACAAGTCCCAAATAAGCGCAAAGATATTAGCACAAAGCTAAAATAAAACACGGTTATTGAGCAGTAGTGGTTTCAAATATGGGCCATATGGCTCACTGTCCATGGTGGCATGGCTTCGGGGAGAGCACAAGCAGTTTTCCTCATTTGTAACCCTAGTATACCCCAAGTATAACCTGGATAAATGTTCACCTGTACATTTAGTATTGGGAGAGGATGACTCAAGTACTAAACTTAACAAAAACAAACAAATCCTATCAATTCATGCTTCCATGTCATACCTGACTATCCTTCATAAAGAGTATATCTTTATTGATTTAAGTTGAGCATTTCATGAATAATGGAGATATTTGGTCATACAACTGGTATATTCTCTGATAGAATTAATCTTTTAAGGTAGGCTTTTGACACTAACCCCTGTTTATTTCAGTCAGACAAATTACACATTATGACCCCTTATTAAGCCAAATTAACTTGCATCCATCATGTTTTCTCAAAGAAGGTAGGATACTTCCCCCTGGATGGTACAAATTATTTGCCACAATCTTTTAATGGAATGTGAGCAATTTTCAGTTTTTGAATTTGACTGGTAAAGGTGAGTCAAATGCTGAGTTTGAATTCAGCGTCTGTGTTCTCGAAAGGCCAGATTCGTCAGCCGATTACTGCATAGTGCAGTGCCATGGCCTGTTCGGATTGGAAGACTCCTTGCTATGCAGCTGACAAATGCTGCATTCTTTTTGCCCTTCTTGAAGGACAGGTCCGGTGTATCCCTCGTAGCCTTGAGTATCCCGTGAGTTCATTGCGAGTCCAAACAAGACGGCTGCTTCATGCTCAGAGGAAAAATATAAATACCACCAGTGATGAATATTGTAATTGCAGTTTAATATAATACAGTATGTGAATTTTTTCAACTGAAATAAATAAAAATAGTTGCTTTAAACGTTTACTGAGTCAGATAAGTGGCGGGTTATGTTAGGTTTATTGAAAGGTTTTATCTGTCCCTGTGCAAATGGGTTTGGCTGACATTTAAGCTCAGATTCCAATATCTATGGGGACTATACATCTGATATTCGCGACAAGAGTACTGCTGCTGAAGCTCCTCAAATTGTAATTAGTATACAGAACAGCGGTGAGAAGTTCAGCATCCATTCAATGTAATGATCTTGGCACTGATGACTGGCTTAATTATTCATTCCATTCACCTGTCCAACTCTGCCCGGTTTCTAATGACTGCTCATCTGATCCACCTGCTCCTGCCTCTATTTAAGGGGCCTGCATCCAGTCATCAGGGCCAGATTATTTCTGTTCTGTCTAGGCAGTGGTGAGAGTGTTTTAGAGTGCTTTAGTGTTTCTGATTTCCTGATTCTGACCTGTTCTGCCTCTCAACCACTTAGCGTACCTGTTCCCATCTGATCTCAGTGGTGAGAGGGTTTTTATCTTACCAGATTGTTTCTGATGACCTGATCCTGACCTGTTTTGCCTTATTTTCACAGACCTCCAAGGACCCAGTCCAGGTAGACCGGGTCCTTGGAGGACGCAGCCGCTAAAATCAAACACACCCATAGTGGTACAAAACCCAGGCAAGAAGCATAGCCCAAGGCACAGAGACAGTTTTAAAAAATGTCACCAAAATGGGCAGAGCCAAGACAAGGCAAAGTGTGGGGGTGAGCAGAGGGGGTTAAACGGGACTGTGGTCAGGAGAATGGATAATCAATATAACTAGTGGCCCAGCTTTGATGGCTCAAAAAAGTGAAAATCCACAAAGGCCATAGATGCACCATAGACTTATTTTATGCAGGCAAAAGAAAAGATATTTCAGGTACAATCCTTTAGTTTTGTCAGTTGATTTTCTTCTTCAGGCAAGCAAAAAAAAAAAAAAACATTTCCTCCATGTTTCTCTGGCGCAGGTAAAAAAAAAACATACACCCACTCAGATGCATGCTGGTCCTACAATTGACTGCCTATTTACAAAAAATAATTAACCTAAATTAATCATAACTAACCAAAAAATGAAGCAATAATAACTAAATAACCCAAAAACATATTCTCATAACAGATATTAAAAAATAGAGTAAAATAAACTTGGCTTGATTATGCACAAAAAACAGTTTTAATCATTAACAAAAAATAATTGGCTCCTACATAACTATTTAACCTAAATATCTAAAATAAACAACATGCTTATGTATAGGTACTCAGAAATCCGAATACTGCACAGAACAATGTCTTTGTCAGTGTTGTAACAATGGCTGTGTCGGCCATATACAAACTATGGAAAATACAACAGTCCAATTGGGAAACGGGAATGCCATCACCTTCTGATTTACAGCACTTTCAACCAATAGGAAAAACAACTCCAGTAGCGCCCTTTCAACCCATAGAGTTTACAACAACATGTCTCCATTTGCACAGTTTCATCAAGAAGGCAGGCACCCTTAAGGCCTAAGTTATAGATTTTATATTGTTACAGCACCATTGAGGAAGCCTGTGTAACATACGAGACAATTACTTCTCAACACAGTAAGATTACAATGATTGCATTACCATTGGCAGCTAAAGAAGTTAAAGTTAGAATCCAATTTGTTGTTTCCTATCAGAGCTCATCTTCAAATATATCTGTGGAAGAAAACAGTTGATAAGAGCTGTTTTCACAATAAGCAATTCGGGCTTAAATGGAAAAAACCAATATGCTCAACCACGATCTTCCTCTTCAAAGGAATGTTAAACAACAACAAAGCATCTTCAGTCACAGGTTTTCATCAGAGCCGGTGGAAGACAGACTAGTAAAGAAAATCTTTCCTTTCTACAGCTATTGACATCAACCACAACTTCCTAGAACGAAACCCATGAGTGATGGTAAAAATTTTATTTCCCTTTTGGATCAATAAACATTTTTTTGCATTCAGTTGAACTAAATTAACAACATATTAGATTGAGCATGCATACTTTGCCATTGATTATTGTGTAATTAAACAAAATAAAAGTTACTTCCTGAGTAATTGGCTGTGTCATAACAACAAGACTATCTATCTATCTATCTATCTATCTATCTATCTATCTATCTATCTATCTATCTATCTATCTATCTATCTATCATTTAAAAGATGATGTAGGACAGGACTGAAACTGCCACTGATAATGACTTTTTCATGCTGATTTCCATTGATACACAGTTTTTTATTTGCTATCATTCTATTAGTGACCCCATTGCTCTGTTTAAAGTTTTTAATTTCAATAGTTCCCTTCTCAAGCTCTTACTTTCTTCTGCCTGTCTTCATCTCTCTCTTTATCAAGTCTCTTTAATTCACTCCTCCTCATCATCTTCTACAATCTAAGCCAGTGAATCCCACTTAGAAATCAAAGCCAGTATCTGTGTTTTCCTCTGAACGCTGAGCAGAGAAGGGGGACAGACAGGTCTTTGTCCCCCTGGCCTTCAATGACTGCAGATGTGTGGGAGGCTACAAAGCAAACCCTGTGCCTTCATTTCTTTTTGGTTTTCACTTTGCTGCTTTTGTGATAGTGTTCGGGGACATGAGGTCAAGTGCAACCATGATGCGCAGGATACGCAAAGGCAGCTCGGGCCCATTTAGGCACATACTGTGCTCATTTATTAGTTATGAGGAACTGAAAAAGAAATGAAAAGCTCTGTTATATAAAGAGAAATTGATAAATATTTGCAACAAATTCAATGTTTTCGCAGAAATTTGGACAAGTATGGAGATGGCAGAAAAAACATGAAGTAACCATCCTGTCAAGACGAATCCATAATCTTTATTGTTTTATTGCTCAAAAGAAGCCTGTAGCGCCTGATAACCTATTTCCTTAGAAAGCCAGCTGCAGTGAAGTAAATGATAAGACATGTTTCCACCATATTGCTTGCACCTGTCACATCAAGTCAGTGGACATGAGGGACCAAAGAGGGGATGGGGAGCATGCTGGAGATACATGCAGGAAAAAATATTGGGAAATAATTTATATGTAAACATAAAGTAAGACTGCAAAGAAAAAAAAAAAATATATATATATACTAATTCAGGTTATATTTCTTTAAGCTATTAAGGTCCCTGAAGCTGCAACTGTGAGCAGGACTCAGAACTCTAGGCCTTATGACAATGCATAATAATTACATTTAAAAGAAAAATAAGGTGGATTTACACCAGAAAGAAAGAGGAAAAGAGAAAATAAATTAAAATACAAAATCAAATCTGAGTGCATATTTAAATTATATGTGACCAAATGTAATAATTTAATCATATTTGAACTATTAAAATGAATTCTCTTCTGCAGCAGGCTCCATGCTTGGTTAGTTTAAAATGATCTTACACCTTTCATCTTCCAGTGATAAACCTGCATGGCAGCTCAAAGTGTGGATCGGTCACATCCCAGTCGGGACAGCTCATCCAACACAAAAAACTGCAGAATTTAACCCGTCCCGCTCCGGAAAGCACACACAAACCTCAGCTCACGCAGGAAAAGCCTGTAAAAGCCTAAAAACACACTTACTGTCTTCCTCCTCCAGCGGTCGGACAGGGATGCAGAGGTGCAGTCGGGGTGATGCTGATGAAGGATGCCTCTCAGAGGGGAAGATCTGCTGTAATGTTTGCCTGCTCTCCCTCCCTTCCTGCTTCCAGCCTCCTCCGAGGAGCTGCACTTCACGACTCGGGCAACAGCATTTGGAAGATGATCAGAATATGTCGAGATCCGAACTCGGAACCATTCGACTTGTGTTCGGGAAAAACCGGGGGCATAGCTTCCGTAGAATCCACCTTAGATCCACTAATTTACTCTGGTTACATGCACTTATATCTGAATCACAGTTCATGCTTTTATTTTTTTTAAATAAACGTTCACCACTATGGAGGACCAATTCTGCCATATTTAAAAATAAATACAGAAATATATAGATGCTCAATAGCTAAAAAAGCATAAAATTAACTGCCCCCCCAAAATACAATAAACAAATAAATGTAGGTAGAATTTTATGGAGGACCAACTCTGCCATATTTAAAAAATAAATATAGAAAGAAATAAATGCTCAATAAATAAAAATGCATACAAATAATTGCCCCCCAAAATACAATAAACATATAAATGTAGGTAGAATTTTATGGAGGACCAACTCTGCCATATTTAAAAAATAAGTATAGAAAGAAATAAATGCTCAATAAATAAAAAAGCATACAAATAATTGCCCCCAAAAATACAATAAACAAATAAATGTAGGTAGAATTTTATGGAGGACCAACTCTGCCATATTTAAAAAATAAGTATAGAAAGAAATAAATGCTCAGTAAAAAAAAAAAGCATACAAATAATTGCCCCCCAAAATACAATAAACAAATAAATGTAGGTAGAATTTTATGGAGGACCAACTCTGCCATATTTAAAAATAAATACTTAAATAAATGCTCAATAAATAAAAAAGCATACAAATAATTGCCCCCCAAAATACAGTAAACAAATAAATGTAGGTAGAAATTGAATTATACAGTGAAACATAAATGTATATATCTCTTTTAATTAGCTTCTTTATTTATTTGCCTTATGGTTTGGCTGCAGATATGCAACAAACAAAATAAGCATCTTTCATGAAACTGTTTTCATAATTATTTTTAAAGATCACAAAACCCCCAGTAGCCTCATTATCTCTGAAAGTAGACTTGGGGTGATGTACTGTGACAGTGTAACATGCAAGACACAATTACATCTTAACACAGTAAGATTACAATGATTGAATTACCACTGGCAACTAAAGAAGTTAAAGTAAGAATCCAATTTGCTGTATCATATCAGAGCTGATTTAAAAATTAATTTGGGGAACAAAATAGTTGATAAAAACAGCCCTTCTCTGATTTTCTGTAATTTTCATGACAGAAAATAATTTAATGAAGAACTCTTCATTAAATTGAATGAACATGATAATCCCTTTAAAGGAATGTTAAATAACAAGTGTCTTCAGTCAGAGGTTTCTCCAGAGCTGGTGCAAAACAGACTGCTAAAAAAAAATCTTTCCTTTCTACAGCTATTAACATCAACAACAAATTGTCAAAACAAAACCTATGAGTGATGGTAACATTTTTATTTCCCTTTTGGATCATGAAAGTATTTTTTGCATTAAATTGAACTAAATTAACAACAAATTAGATTGAAGCAAGCATGCATACTCTGTCATTGATTACTGCATTAATACAAGTAAACAAATTGGCTGTCATAATAACAACCATCCATCCAACCATTTTTCTTTTAAAGGATGAAAGGATGATTTAACTTGTGTTCGGGAAAAACCAGGAAACATTTTCTATAGAATCCACCTCAGATCCTGAGTGTTATTAAATGTGAGACAGTTGAGCTAAGCTATTTACTCTGGTAACATGTTCTTAGATCTGAATCACAGTTTATTATTATACATTCGCGACCATCTGAGAGTAGTTATTGTTACAGCTTTTACTACGTGAAACAAAGAGACAGTTTTAGGAATGAATGAGTTGCTGAAAATCAAGAAACATACAAATCTTGTTTGGCTGTAGATATGCAGTAAATATATTTAAGAACCAGCTGTTAAATCAAAAATGTCTTCAGATGGAAAATGTTAGGTAGGTCTCAAAACAAAATATGTATCTTTTATAAAACTGTTTTCATAAGTATTTCTAAAGATCACAAAACCTCCAGTAGCCTCATTATCTCTGAAAGTAGACTGGGGGTGAGCCACCCACCATTTGGTTTCCTATCTAGAGCAGCAAATTTTACACGAGCTGTTAAAAAGCAGCTTATTATTTCTACTAGGAAATCAGTTGCAAATTTATTTAAACTTTTTAATGTGAGACAGTGTAAAACAGATGCATTAATTTTCTACTAAATAATGGTATTTCTGATAAATATTAGTTTAATGACAAGGAATAAGAAAGATGTAATATATACGTTTAATTTGTTCTATTAATGCAATTATTTTGGCAATATTGCATTTATTATAAAATCAGAATCAGACATACTTTAATAATCCCAGAGGGGAAAAAAGGCCTTAGTTGCTTCTTCAACATTCTAGCCAACATTAGGAGCCGTTATAGAGGCTTCCTGTCATGGTTTTGGTTATGTTGTGCTTTACTTTGCTCCTTGTTTTCTAGTTTTTGTTGGTTTAATTCCTATTTTGTTGTAATTTCTAGATTTATGTTAGTTCTCATGTTGTCCTCTGTTGCCCTCTTGTGTGTGTGTTCCTTTCCCCTTGGCCCCCTTGTTGTCTCCTCACACCTGCTCCTTGTCAGCTCGTTAGCCCTCCCTTTGTCTCTGTCAGCTATTTATGCTCTCCCTCTTCGTTGGTTCCTCTGTTGTTGCTGGTCCTGTCATCGCTGCAATTGTCTCCCCTCGTCCCTCCCTGGCTCCTTCTACATGTTTTCCCTTGATGTCTCCATGGTTCTGGTCTGTTACTCTTTAGTTGGATTTTTGGACTGCCTTTGTTAATTTTCATAATTAAACTACAAGTATTCACCCCAGCCTCTCAGCCTCTGCGTCCTCCAATAAAAACCGTTGACCACAAAAAATATTTTAAAGCCTTAAGCCTTTCAATAGGTGAATGTTTGACAACCTAAATATCTTTTATTTTACACCCCCCCCCCCCCCAAAAAAAAATACAAAAGAGCAGTTTTGCTAGTTTTAATAAAATATATTGCAATGTTTGGCATTTTGTTGAGCCATTGAATAATAAAAAGAAATCAAAAGGCTTTATGGATTTCGAAATTGCAGATTTTCTGTGGTACAATATAAATAGGCTCTTTCAGTTTGGTTCTGAGATCTTCCAAGATGAGTGAAAATCACTGTAGACTTAAGATGAAATAAAACAAAGTATAGAAAAGATAGATACATACAAAATATTTAATGTGTTCATGATTTTATACATTTTTTAAAGTCAAGGCAACGGCTCTACAAAAAAAAAGACACTTTGATTGAATCTTTAAAGGACCATTTATAGCAGGTTAGACCATAAACCCATGAGATCTCTGCATACGGGCAGGCGTTCACATCTAGTGAAGGTGTGTATTGGACAAACAGGATGAAATGTTGCTGCAGAAGCAGCATCAGCAGTGGGAAGACAACACGGTGTGCATCTCTCCCTCAAGGCGATGAGATTGAATAACGCCTTAATGGAGTGGAGCTGCTTAATGGAGACAGGAGCAATAGACACACTGGTGAGTTGATGGTTATCTGAGGTATAAAAGGCACTATGCACTTTGTATCAGGACAGGAAACAACCCTGTTGCATCTACAGATATCTGGAGTAGATGGATTTCAATAAAGAGCCTACAAACACAACTGCTCTAATACAAACATGATTTAAACATCCTCCACTTCCTGGGTCTACCTGACAGAACTGGATGAAAACTCTTATTGATGCCCTCAGAGGCATTTTTCTTTCACTAAACATACACGGGGTGAGAAGCTTAAAACACAGCAGGACTTCTGAGTCAGAGGAGAGGCTTCATCTCCCAGCCTCTACTGTTTCTCTAGTGCTTTTCAGCCTCTAGGAATTAACATTTCTAAGCAAACAGAATGACTCATAAATGGCTGAAGCAGAAAAACTGTACCTAGAAAATATGTTTGCATTCATATTTGATGGTAAATACATTCTTGAGTCCTTGAAGCAGACAAACATTCTGCAATTTTAATCTAAGCTTAAAGAGACATACAAACTCAAACATCTTGAGCCTATATTCACAGTGACACGGTCTACTAAGTCTTCCTTCGGCCTCTCCCTCTGCCCTCAGCAGGTTCCAGCCTGGCTGCAGGGGCAGAAAGTGCATGAGTCTGTAAGTCCACTCTCTGCTGCAGGATCCCGGTGAGGATAAACTCAGCGGTGACGACGGGAAGAGATGCGGACATGGCGGGGACACACAGATGCAGGTCCTCTTCGCAGGAAATCACTACGGTCAGAGGCTGAGAGACAGAGAGGTGTGGCACAGTAAGAGAGAGAATAATGCTAGGAGACATCTATAGCTCTGAGCTCAGCTGTTACTAGGGGTGTAAATCACATCCATCATGGCGATTCGATTCAGTATCGATTTCCTGATCCAACGATTCGATTATTTTCGATACTTAAGAATACACCACGATTCGATTCGATTAATCGATTAATCGGTTAATTTTTTTCTTATTATTATTTATTTTTATTTTTTTTTACACCTTACAGGCTAAACAAAGTTTCAAGTTTGAAATAAATCAATGAAAGCTGTAATATCATTATGCATTTTCTTTAGAAACAACAGCAAATAACAGAAGTAGAAAAGTTGCATCAAAAAATACTGCAAAAATACTGCACAATATCAGTGTAATGAGTTCAATGCAATACCTCGGCTCCAGAGAAACTGTCCAACATATTTTTTTAGAATGTAATAAATATATTCAGGAAAGAGAGATGTTGTGTAGAGAGTTAGACAGGAATAAAAATAAACTACATATAAGGGAATTGTTTCAAAGGTCATCTGGGGATGTAGTTTTTGGGGGTATTTTTAATTTTCTAAGAAGAACGGGTATTTTAGGGAGAATATAATAGTTTGTCTGGTCCATACTCCATTCTGGAAGGTGGCGGTAATGCAGCTATAAGTTGTTTGCCAACCGCCATTAAAAAAAAGAAGAAGAAGAAGGCTCCAGAGTGTTGACGTCACCGCCCCTTGAGAGACGCTCCGCTGCATCTCTCCCAGATTGTAGCTGACCGCAGACAGTGCACCAGACAGGAGGCCGGCTAGTTTTGTTTTTATGACCGAAATTGCGGAAAACAACTCGTGAAGTTTGACCCGCTAGAAGAGCGAGGTGCGCGAGAACGCTGGGAGCCTTTTTCCAGCTGAATCTCCGCTCTTTTTGCCCCATTGTCCCTCCGTCGTCGGGCTAAACTCGCCGCCACTTCCTCGCCGCCTCGGCCGTATCTAGACCCACAGCGTGTAGCCCAGACCACGCTTCAATACTGAGCATAATTTAAAAATGTCTGTGTGAAGCTTGCTGCAACAAACTGCTGTAAGAGTATAACCAGGAAGCGAGGTAGGAGGGCAAAATAGGTTTAGCGCCACCGCAGCACGGGAGGGAGAATTACACCCAGGAGCAAATGGATAAAAATAGACCGGAGGAAAAAAAAAACATTAATCGATTATCTTGCGGACGTGTCGATGCATCGGATCGTCGGCTTTTGGATCGATGCATCGATACAAAACGATTATTATTTACACCCCTAGCTGTTACCTTGTGAGCTTTGGGCATCTTTGGTAGAAATGTGGCGCAGCTGCAGGTGATGATGTCTTTCATGTGAACTGGTTCAGGCTTTACTGACTTTGTGACGTGGATCTGATATCCCTAAAACAAGCAAAACAGAAGCAAAGTGATACATTACATATCCTTGTAAGCAAATACAGTAGAATTAGTCGATACTTATTTAGGTTCTGTAACCGAGAATAAGAAAATCGATACAAAAACATTTGGGTGAGGTGTACACCCTAATTTTAGCTAGGCATCAGCATAATGTGTTGTATCACCTTACAGCTGAGATGAAAGCCTAATGCCCCAGAAACAAAACCAGAACACAAACAATAGATGTTAAATTAACACCACAGGTTACCATGTGGGGGTAAATAATAGGTTCACTCCACCGGAAACACAACGGCTTACAAAAGTTTCCACACCGCTTGAAACTTTTCACATTTTCTTACAAGACATGATCCAGTTTCTAAATGTACTGACTCATCCTCCTGAGTCAACACTTTGTAAGAACTGCGTTTTACTGCGTCATGTCTGAGAGATTTTGCAAAGTAACTAAACTCAATCCGCCTTCATGCAGAAAATCTGTAACTATCTGTATACAATTCTTGAAAGAAATTCTTGATGGGGTTTAGGTCTGGGCTTTGAATGGGTCGTTCTAACAAAACCATTTTGATCTCATCATTCCACTGCAGCTCTAGCAGCATTTTATTGTCCAACTAGATGGTGAACCTTGTTTACAGCTTCTAACACCATTTCCTGCCATTTAGCTCCATCCATCTTCCTAATAACTCTGAGCAGTTTCCTTGTCTCTGCTTTACCTTCAGAATGTTTTCAGGGCAAGTGTATTGCTTGTCGTCCTTACCACTTGGCATTTTACATTCAAACCGAATATTTAATCCTGGTCTTATATAACCAGAGCATCGTTTTCTTCAGGTTTGCTGTGTCTGAGGCACTATTTGTGAAACTAGTCATGGCTTTCTTTGAAAAATGCCTTTTTTCCAGTCACTATGATGAATATATCCTTTCAGAATTTTTCTTTTTTTTACTTGTAGTTACTCTTGCAAATAATCAATAAAAAAGTCAATAAAGTTAGTTGGATGGATATGATACATTCGCAGTCTTTTCTAAGACTGCGACTGTATCATCATATGATAAGGACTGGGCATGATTTTTCCACATAGCCACAATGACTCCGTCTTTCTCACCAGCTCTGCTGAGCTTTCAGTTAAAGGAAACACCCTGCACCCTGACACTCCATCCACTACTCAGACAGAGAATATTTATTATAAAGAGGAAAACAGACATATAGGAGGCCATCAAGTACCTGCAGAAGAGGCTGGCCGCTGGCAGCCCTCAGAGACTCCTGCAGGGAGAAGCTGAACTTCTTCTCTTGCTCCGGGTCTTTTACAACAAAAGCATTCGGAGAAAGGAAGCTTCCAGCCTTACCGCTCTGAAATGGACAGGGGAGACAGTTGAAGTGAGACAGAGCTTAACAGGGAGGACAGGTCTATATTGCTTATTCTAGCTGCTGCCAATAACCTTTTCCAGCCATTGTGTGGTGACGACTGGGACACCTTTAGCCACGGCGCACAGGAATTTCACCGTCCTTCGCACTTTATCCGTCACAAGGCAGTTCATGTCTGAGACGCCTTTGGCCATGGCGCCTCCTAAACGAGCCAGCACTCGCTCTCCAGATTCATCCACCACTCCGGTGAATAGGACCTGAGAGAATAACAGTACAGCTTTGCTTATCAGGGACTACAGACAGTTTTACTCATGATTACATCACCTAAATGGATTTCTGATGACCTTAAAAAAAAAAAAAAAAAAAAAAAAAAAAAAAAAAACATTGGCTGATGCGGCCAAAACAGTTGATATAGTTTTTTGCATAGAAGTAAATATTAAATGGAGTTCATCTAACCACCATAGTTGTATAAAGAAAGTAAGTAATTGATACATGCTCCAAATACTGCTGCAGGCAGCTTAGAAAGCAATCAGCAGGAACTGGGGAGGAAACCACACCAGTGAAAGCTCAGTGGGTAACGACTGTGGAAGTAATTCTTTCAGTAAAGTTTTATGCTCTTGGTCGAGTTGTTTTTTCAAGTTGTTGAAAAGCCTCAAATAAAGACTTTTTAAATAACAAATTCTTTAGATTTGTTCTTGTCTCTAATTATCCACTAACACAAAGTTTTTTTAAGGAAACCAAACACTATTCTTCACATCGGGTTTTTATTTTTGTATTCCATTAATTGAACTCATCTTTTAAAAGGTGTTTTGTTGCTTGCCTGATAGATGCAGCTAAACATTAGATGGATTCTTGGATTACTTGGAGACAAATGTTCTAACAGGACTGAGCAAACTAAAACAGAGCAACCAATTATTTGTTATTATTATTTTTAAAGAAAGTTTTTTACAATATAAAGTCCCAATAAAATATCCTCCTAGGATCTCATGGAACTGTTATATGATGATAGTTCCACCTTCCTCCACCACAAATTGATTTTAACTCGAGTCCCCATTAGTTCTGTTAATCAACTGAAGCTTGACTTGTATGATTTGTGTTGATCGTTGCCGTAGCTGCCCCCATGTGACGTCATCTAATAATTTATTCAAAGTCTCTCAATTAGGCCTGAAACAGTTAGTTAATCTGGATAAATTGATTGTTGAAATAACCATCAACTAACTTAGTAATCCGTTAATCATTAAACAGAGCATAGATACTCTAAATGCCTCTAGCTAACAGAGCAACCCAATTAGAGTAGTAATGATACAAACATTGAAAGCAATAATAACGATTCTGCATTTAAGATAAAAATAATATTGCCCTCAAGTGGAAAGGTTTCAGTTTCACCAGGTTTAAAATTAGGTTAGAAGTTAAGAAGTTTAGTAAAACTAAACTTCTTTTAAGACTTTCTGATTATTAATTGATTAATGGAAAAAATAACCATCAATAATCGATTAGCCAAAAATTAGGCAAAAGATATTTATAGGAGCCCTAATATTTTGCATGTTATACCCGTTGAGCAAAAAAAGGACAAACACAGACCTTGTAGGCTGGGCTCCGGTGGCCCAGTCGGCTAATCGTAGCAGGAGACGCAGAGGAGGAGCGAGGTGTCTTTGCCACGGGGGAGGAGTTTGAAGAAACTCGTCGCTTCCTGGAAGGAGTCGCGGCCGGGGTCTGAGGGTGCTGAGGAGGAGAGGAAGTAAGGGAGCAGGAGGAAAAACAAGACAGCAACTGAGTAAATAAATGAATAAATAGGATAAAGATAAAAAAGGAAACAATGTATCTCTTCATAAAGATTTGGATAAATGCTGGTGAAGATTCCTAGTCATCCAGGTCATAGTCATTCCAAACTAGTAAACAAAACAATCCACTGGAATTTGTTTCCAAGTTGGAAGACCTTTTGCTTCCCATCCAGGAAGCCTTTTCAATTCGAAATGTCAGAAATAGTGTTGAGTTCAAGGCTTTATAGTGTGGACCAAAACAAAGCCTTGTTTTGGCGAAGAAAACATGCAAATTGAACCGGAAAAACGGGTCCACCACCATTGCGGTTCATTGTTAGCCTGAAATACCCAATGCTGGTCTATGCCTCTGAAAGAGGGGCCGTTAGGTTGGTCTCCTGTATGAGGGTGGGGGTTTTGAATTGAAACGTCTTCAAACTTCGATAAAAAAGTCCAGTGGATTGTTTTTCTTTATTTTTTTTTGGAATGATTTGCAGGATTGTTCGGGTTATATCGCTGTCATTTTAGATGTTTTTTTTGGGGGGGGGGGTTCTAAAAGATTCCATTGGGAATAATTCTGGCATTGTTTTTTTTTTTATTCCTGTGATCATAATTGACTTCAAGTTGTCAATTGCTAATCTTTTTCCCTGATGGGTTACACAACATTAATTCAATTCAGCTCGACAGCGAGGAAATTAAGAGGAAAGAGCGTGGGTGACCACTAACCCACTGAATCCATTAGATACATGGCAAAACTGAGAGAGGAAAGACATTTGCCAAGATACAGATGGAGGAGCATTACAATGTTTGTAAAGGCTTGTCTCACGGCACACAACTGAGCTTTGAGTAATGGTAAAAGCTTTCTGTATCCAATCTTCCATTTTAGACGGATTCCTAAACATGTTAATGGGGACATTTTTATGATCGATGGAATAGGAATAATGATTTTACCTCTGCTACCTCCTCAGCTCCATCCTGTTCCATGGAAGAGTCGGATGCTTTAGTTTCCTGCAGCCCCTGCATCTTATTTTTCTGGACCTCTGAGGATCCGGCCCTGGTTCTCTTCTCAGCAGTGCTCACTGCTCCCATCTTCCCATCTTCTACCTGGTTTTTTTGGAGGGATTTTTCACTTTTCTTCACCCGAGTGCTTAAGGCTCTGCTAGTTCTCCTTCCTGGGATGGCAAAAGGAATCTCTTCTTTTTGCTCCTCTTTTGGTTTCTGCTCTCCATCTGCTTCCGTGTTTGCTTTGCACTTGTCTCTGGTCTCCTCCCCATAACTAACTGTAGGAGCTTCAGTTTCCTCCACAGGTTCAGTTTTTACTGCTTTTGGGCCTGTGCTCCTTGAATTCCTCTTAGGCAGAGAGATATTTAGATCTTCAGCTTTTTCCTGATTTCTTTTACGGTCTTTATTATTCAGAGCTAAATCTTCAGATCCTTTGGCACCGACCCGCTGCTGCCCCCTACTGGTAACAGTGAGCTGAGCGCTGGGTTGCCTTTTGTCTTGCTGCAGAACATCAGTGGAGGAGCTTTCTGACAATCTGCTCCTCTCTGTGGAATCTCTAATGTCAGGAGCAATAATGTTGGACTGAGATGTTTTCCTTCCTCTTCCTCGAGGTCTTCCTCCTCTTCCTCTGTTCTGGGAGGTGGTGCTGGAGGCCTTAAAACTGGAGGCTTTTGGACTAGCACTGAGCATCTGAGCTTCACCGTCCTGCTCTGCTGCTGCTGTGGTCGTCCTTCGTCTGCTGCTCCTCACAGCTGTTTGGGGGGTATCGCTGCTCCTCTTCGCTCCTCTCCCTCTTCCTTTGCTCTCCTGGGTTTTGTCGTTGATGCTGGAGACTGACCTCTCTGAACTGACCGAGCTGGAGCGGGTTCTCCTCGCAGGGACGTCCTCACTCACTGAGAAGGTCGAGCTTTGATGGGGCCCGGCTCCACCCCGGCCTCTTGATCTTCGGGTTCTTAAAGAACCTCTGTGGTTCTCCTCTTCCTCATTATTATTTTTTGATTCTTGAAGTTGTTTTTCTTCAGATTTTGCCGTTTCCTCCAGTCTTGCTTCGGGTTCTTCCTGCTTCCTCGTCTCCAAACTCGCTTCCCTTTGATCTTCTATCTCATGTTGGGATTTCTTCTCCTCTCTCTTTCTTCTTTTTGTTTGTGTTTCATTTACCAGCTCTTCCCTCTCCTTTTCTGTTGCCACATGTTCTTCTGCTATGTCTTCCCCTTGTTTCTTATCTCTTTGCTGTTTTATCTGGCTCTCATTTTCAGTGCTCTTGTTTTTGTCCTCTTCATCATCTTCTTCCTGTTTCCTTACATTTCTTCTCCCTCTTGTCTGTCGATTGGCTGCTTTCATCTCTTTCTGACAGCTGCCACTGTCAGACTTGTTTTGTTCCCTCGTTTCGTTCCTACTTGGTGAAACATTCGTCGCGTCAGCTTTTCTCTGAAATTTAGTCAGAGAGACTTCAGAAACAGTGATTGGCTGTATCTCCTCCTCTTCAAGATGCAGCTGCTTTTCTTTTCTTTTTCCTGCATAAGTTATGGATTCACCAACATCACATTTTCCATCTCTTACTTCTGCCTGAGCTTCAACAGCAGAAACTCCAGCAGCTTCTGGAACCCTTTCAGACAGACCTTTATCTTCAGCTTCAGAGCTAATCAGAGGCTGAGTCTGCTCATCTTCGATGTTCAGCTGCTTTGCTTTCCGTTTTCGGGTTGTAATAAAGTCTTCGCTGCTTTGCTCTTCTTCACATGTTGCTGAAGGCTGAAGTTCAGGAGCAGAACTTTGAGAACCAACAAGTGACTGAGTCTCGTCTTCCAGCTGCAGGGGCTTTGCTTTCCTTTTCCGTAGGCACGGCATCGAGTCCAGATCGTCATCATCATCACTTGGACAGACAGGCTGGGTTTCAGCAGTCTCCTGCGACTCCTCTTCATCAATATGTAGCTGTTTTGCTTTTCTTTTTCGGGGAAGCAGCATCTCAGAGTCCTCAGCGTTACTTGCGTCACCTTCACCTAAATCTGTCGACTGAGCTTCCTCAGCATCAACATCCACAGGCTGAGTTTCCGCCAGAGTCAGGGCTGAATGGGTGACTGGCTGTGTCTCCACTTTTAGAGGCTGTAGGGACTCTGCAGACAACCCATCATCATCGCTCGCCTCCTCGTCACTCGTACACATGGGCTGGGTTTCAGCGAGGGATAAGGCTGAGGAGGTTGTGTGATGTTTCTGCTCCTCTGCAGGTTTCAGGAACGGTGATGACAACCCCTCAGCATCCCTCTCCTCTTCATCACTTTGACACATGGGTTGTGTAACAGCAACTGACTGAGATTCTTGAAGCTCCTCTGTTTCGTTTCGCACTCCGGTTTGAGCAGGTTCTAAGGAACCAACTGGATTATTAGGCTCAGAAGAAGAGGAAGAAACTGTCTGAGTTTCAGCCAAAGGAAGTGTTGACGAGCATGTGGAAACCACGCTTTCAGTCTTGGCAGAGTTTTGTTTTGCATCTTCATTTGAACCTTCGTCATAAGCCTCTGGGATATAAGCTTGAGTTGCTTCCATAGCCAAAGAACCACAGCCTTCTTTCCTGGACATTTCTAAACATCTAGAAGGCCCCACGTCATCGCCGTAGGGCTGAGTGGCCTCCAGGGTAGGAGAATTTCCTTCCACATACTCCAGAGTGTCCTCCAGGTTAACTCCATCTTCTGAGATGTAAGCCTGGGTGTTCTCCATGGCCACAGCTTTAAACTCACCCTGTAAGTGGCTGCTATCAGACAGACCCAGCTGGAAGGAATCTCCTCTGGTGGAAGTCTCCTCAGGTTGGACAGCAGAGGACTCGATTTCAGAGGCTAGCTCTGGGTTCAACCCTTTGTAGCTATCTCTATCCTGAAAAATGAAGGACTGAGTCTCAGCCACGTCATAGTCTCCATCCTCCTGGCTGTCTGAGCAGGAGGAAAATACCACTGCTCCTAAAGAAGTAGTCCCAGCATCTGCAGGAGCAAGACATAAAAACAAACACATCTATTTAAATACTAAACTGAACACATTTTTTTGTTGTTGTTTTTTTTTAAAGGAAGAGAAAAAATTTAATATTCATCACTGATTACATCAAATCAGAGGTGTCAAGTAATAAGATACAAATACTTCGTTATCTTACCTAAGTAGATATTTTGGCTATCTATACTTTACTGGAGTGATTAATTTTTTAGACAAGCTTTTACTTCTACTATCTAAATTTTTTTGCAATTATCTCTACTTTCTACTCCTTACATTAAAAATAATTGTTAGTTTTGTTTCATTTAAGCTTATTTTTGTTATAATCTGTTGGTATTTTAAAAATATATAATTTGTTTTATCCACACAATTAATTCCATTTGGGTTGGACTCGATGCTGCACCAACTTGTTGTTCGCCACAAAACCAAAATAAATAGTTTTTCAAGATGATGCAAAGTTAAATTTGACACTGTTGCCATTAGTTATAAAACTGATTAAATGAAGTATAAGAAAGTTAGCATCCTTTAATGGGGCAGTAACCAGTATAAGAATTAAAGCATCTTCTCTTCAGATTTTTTCCTGCATTACATTTACTTTTACACTTTTACTTGAGTAAAAAGCTTAAGTTGATTTTTTTTTTTAAACAGTGGGATATATACTTCTATTTGAGTAATAAACATTCATTTACTTGACACCTGATATTCTGTTTAAAATCAATTTTATTGTCTCCTGTTTCAGAAATTAACTATAATTTAATTTATCAAGATTTTATGTGAAAGAGCAACACTAAGGAGGTGAAAGCAAAATATGAAAGGTGTGGTCAGCACTTGTATTCTGGCACCTTTTACTCCGATACCTGTGAATAAAATCCAGTTAAACAAATTCCCTTTGGTTTTATTTATGTTTTGCCCAACGCTGGACAGATTGAAGTTGTAGGTGCTCTAGTCAGATGAGAGCAAAAGTTAACTTTCAAACTAACAAATAATGGGTGTGACTAAAAAATAAAAAACTCAATCCCCACAGTGGAACAAGATGGGAGCAGAAGCATGTAGGTGGGATACTGTTCCTTAGCACAGAGAGGAAACTTGGTCAGGGTTTTAGGAAAGATGGGGGGAGCTAGATGCAGGACAATCAATGAGGCTGCAAAAACATTTGAGACCAAGTAGGGTCTGGAAGGTTCTCTCTCCAGTCAGCTGACTTCTAACATGTAGCCAGAGCTGCAATAGGCTGGTTTTATTCAAGCATATTCATGTCCAGCTCTCTGGTAAAAGTTGCAAACTAATATTAACACTTTATATCAATTTTTTTATATTGAATTTGTGCCGAACTTCAACTATTTTATAAAGCTAGCAGAAGAACACACAAAAAAACTGCAAACAGTACAAAGCAACATGAATTAGAAATAGATGTGTTAAACCTACATCGATGTGCACCTGATGTTGGGCTTGTGAAGGCTTGAGTTTCCATCTGCTCAACCTCTCCTTCTGCAAAACAATAAATAAATACATAAAAAGAAGAACAGTTAAAGCTTATTCCCCTTCAAAACAATCCCAGAATCTTTATAAATGTGGATCATGAGCCTTGGTAAACATTGTCTTACAAGGAATCGGAAATCGGTTTTTAATATGCAACAAAAACTTTTCTTCTTGTACACCTGGTTGCAACTTTAGTCTATAATGATTTATTACTTCTTTTAATGTACTTCTCTAATTTTATTTCTATTGTTTAGGATTTTTTGTATTCCTGTGATTTTTCTATACATCAAATTAAGACCAAGTACCTGAAAGCTGAACAGGTGTAGAACAGTTCTGCAGCAGAGGAACCAGAGACCCAGGAGTATTTTCTCTGAGCAGGTTTGGGATCTGGCGCTCCACTGCCTCCTCATCCTCCACATCAGTGTCACTTTCCACCTGAAGGTCAGCTGGACTGCCCTTGGCTTCAGCTTGGGGAAGGAGAGGTTCCTTAACATCTCTGTCTTTACTGGAATCCGGCTCCAGAGCTCCTGATACAGGAGCAGCAGAGATAGCAGGGGGGCGGTCTTCCTCTACGTCTGTGTCACTATCAGACAAAATATCCAGACCGGCTCTCCCCTCCGAAGATGCGCCAGAAGCAGCCATGGAGGGGTCATCCACCGCTTCATTACAGCCGTCATCGCTTGGATGCAGATCAGATTGGATGCAGTGAGGTACAGTAGGTGTGGGTTTATCAGATGGATCGTTGAGAGCTTTGTCTGTTTTAGGATCTTCCTTTTTCGCTCCTTCTCCTCCGTCTTCTTGCTCATCCACATCTGTGTCGCTGTCCAAGTGGAAATCTCTGAGCTGCAATGAGGGGGCTGAGTTAGTAGTGTGCTGACCCTGAAATAATGTTGCTTTGGATGAGACGTTGGCATCATCATCCACATCAGTGTCGCTGTCCATTGCGATGCCTTCAAGTTGAATAGCAGAGGGTTTTGATGTTTCTTCATCAGCAGGAGAAGTTTTTGGAACTTTATCCGATGTATCGTCATCCACATCAGTGTCACTGTCCATGTGTGAAAGGACTGGGTTTGGGGGTTGATCGTTTTGCGTCACATGCGACACCTCTTCCTCTCCTTCCTCCACATCAGTGTCACTGTCCAGGTTAAATTCAGGGATGGCGTCTCGGGACACTGACGTTGACCCAGGTGACTCGCCGTCTTCATTAAGGGGCTGATGGATTTTCAAATCATTTCCATTTTCTTCTGCTGCTCCTTCGACTTTCTCATCATGGTTTTCCACAAATGCAGCTGTCGTGTCTTTCTCCGGACGCTGTCGGCCCACGTCGCCATCCGTCTCCTCCAGGCTGAAACTTACATGTCTGTTTGACAAATTCTTGCAGGAGGAGGACGGCGTTACGGGGCTTTCATCTTCACTGTAAAATGGAAAAACAAGACTTAGGATCTGAAAGATAGCAGTTACTGATAAATACGTTTACTGTTGTTAATAAAAAGCCTTTCAAAAATAATTCATTTGCCATAAAATTTGATGTGTTTTATTAGAATTTTGTGGCAGTGAGATGCTGTTGGGATGTTTTTTATCTTAACTTTAGCACCAAAGAAGGGCTGACCAGAGTTGTTGGGAAAGTATGGAGCTATGAAAATCCTAGAAGACTTGTTAAAAGAACAAACAGGATCACATTTCAGCATGAAAACAACAAGCTGCCACGACAGCCTGTTAATGCATTTAAAGACTTCTTTTTTACTAATGCTTATTTCTAACTTACCAAAATCTTCAGAAAATGAAAAAGGTTGAGAATTTTTCAATAACATCCAGCGACTTCTACATATCAAAAGCCCTTTGTGCATCAAATCTGCATTGAGTTTATTCATTCAACATGGCTAAATATAGTAGGTTTGCAAAACAATTATGTTTTAATGAGAAAACCTGCAAAAAACTTTACATGTTTTGGATCTGAAATGATTTACACATCTATTTCCAAAGAAATAATACTTCTTTATTTGTTTCACTGAAATGATACATGGGAATGCATGTTAAAGTTCCAAAATTTGAAGAAAAAAAATTAAGTGAATATAAAAAAGGGAACACACTGTTGTGGCCTGTCAAAACTTTGACTTAAGAAGATAGGACCATGTTTACCTAAACCAGTTTGGAAACCACTGGTTTAGGCAATACTTGTGTTTTAAAATCGCCAATCCAATTCCAAACCAAAATCCATTTGAACATTTGTCAAAAATGAAATTTTCTCAATGTGTAAAGCTGATTGAAACACTTCAAAAAAGAACTAAAGCATTAACTTTATCAAAAGGTTACTCTAAAATCTATTGACTTCCCTTTTTTGTATTTACTAAAAACTTTTGAAAAACATATAGCCCAGCATACACTGCATGTCTATTAACAAAATTAAAATTCAAGATAAAATACACAAATGCTTAATGTTCAGATATACATAATAAAATGCAAAAAGACCTTCTAAGCAAATAAAATGCATTTGTTTTTTGTTTTTTTGTTTTTTGTACAATCCATTAAAATTGTTAAAATCTTCATAGTTAAAATGAGGAGCATACCTTTCAGGTACAACTTTATTTGGGGGACTTAAGAATGCAGAAGAGCTGGGACTGGACTTGTGGGAGTCTGAATCAGACACTGAAATCAAAGCCAACATGTTAATAAAAACTAAAAACAGTTGTGTTTATAAATCATCATTCATTAAACTTACCAATGGTCTTCTGTTTTCTGTCTCGTCTCGCTCCTCTTTCACTCTCCGAGTCTGAATCAGATTCCGGTACCAAAGTCCCGTGGGGTTGAACTGGAGTTTGCTCAATAGAGAGGCACCCACCTATAATAGGCATTCTCTTTTCCTCCGACCTGGGGCTTACATAATGACATGGGATGTTCCCAAAAACCAAGGTGTCGCCCTCACTGAGGGCATAGCGCACATGAGGGGTGAGCTTTAGGTGTCCTTTACGGGTCCCATTCATGCTCCCTAGGTCCCAAACCAGGGCCTCCATGCCCTCTTTACTGTCACGGCCTCTTCTGCGGTACACAGAGATGCTGACCGTAGCATGCTGCTTGGACACAGAGGGTGCGAGCAACTGTAATGTGCAGATGTTGGGGTCACGGCCCAGAATATTATCTCCCAGGAAGAGAGGAAACTCTAAATGACAGAGACAAAATATATTTAGGGAAAGATTTCTTTACATTCAATGGACTTAAAAGAAGGTATATGTAAAGTCTCTCCCAGTTTTGTTTGAAATAAATACTTTGTTCTTGTTCTCACTTTAAATATGGCAAGTACAGAAAAGTTGATATTTTCTTACAACTTTATCCTAACATCTAAAGGTCAACACTTCTGAGTTGAATCACTCATTTCTCATTTTAAATAGTGACAAGGATAAATGACTCCCTGCACCATGTCATGTTTGTTCTTTAAGAAAATGGAAAAATCTGGATTTTTATACAGAAGTTCTGTAAAACATATATCTACTTTAAAAGAGAAGCATAAAATGTAAAAAAAACAAAAAAAACAAAAACAAAACAAAGATCCTGCTTGGATTATTACAAAATGACATCACCGGAAGAGGGGAAAAAAATACCTTCTACAAATTATTAATCAATTAATTACTGATTGCGGCTCTTAAATGTATTATAGTTGTAAATGGTTGAAGTCTGACCCACCAACGTACAAAATGTAGAATGAAAAGGTCTGGGAAATCTATCATATGGAACAAATAACTTATTGCCTTAGGCTTCAAGAAGACATATTTGTTAATAGATGGAAACTGGCCATGACTAAAATAATGCAATAATTTTTTGAAATATATTTTATACTTCTCCCTTATCTTTATTTATATATTTTTATCAGTTATTATTTATTTAATTTTTATTTAACTCATTTATCTCCATCTGTGCTTCTTATCAATTTACCAACTATATCTATGTTTGTATGTTACTCATTTTTAATCATGTAACCTGCTTTACTTGTAAATTTAACCTGATGCTTATACTTTCAAAGTTGTTTTAAGTATATAGTGAGTGAAAAAAAGCAAACTAAATGTGGGCTTGTATGTATATATCTATGCAAGTTTGCAAAAAATTAAGTTTAAGAAAGAAAGAAAGAAAGAAAGAAAGAAAGAAAGAAAGAAAGAAAGAAAGAAAGAAAGAAAGAAAGAAAGAAAGAAAGAAAGAAAGAAAGAAAGAAAGAAAGAAAGAAAGAAAGAAAGAAAGAAAGAAAGAAAGAAAGAAAGAAAGAAAGAAAGAAAGAAAGAAAGAAATGGGCTTTTAGGGGAGACTGACATGTTTCACCTGTGATTTTGTCACAAATTTACAAACATGGTAAATGTGTTTCCATGTCTTCAGAATATTATGCTGCTGCATAGAAATAATAATAATACTAATGCTATTCTAAGGTTTGGTATGCATATGTGTAGCAGGTGATGGAGCTGAACATGTTAGGATGTTTACCTTTCTCGGGGATGTGAGGGTTTCTTAGGACGCACAGTTTGGCCAATGGCTTCCTTGTTTCATTCTGGTTTTCCTCTTCATTTTCCTCCTCCTCAGATTCTAGGATCGAGTCACTGATCGCCTGCGTGGCATCCATTCCTACTGAAAAGCAAATAAGGCTGACAACAAAGCTAAAAAATACAGCCCCATCGAAACTAAAGTTAGCTTCACAGCAAGCTACAAGCAAGTGCCTGCAGCTAACATTAGCATTCGTGGCTAACCAATAATCTGCTGCAAACAGTTAACATATGCATTACGCTGAGCATTTAGCGAGTTTGTATTTCACTTTTATTACACATTCTTTATATGAGACCAGTCTTTAAAGGTTTAAACAACATAAACAACTTTTATTAAAGGTGTATAATCGTTTTCAGTGTCAAAATCACAGCAATTACACTTCCGGTCAACGACAAAACGGTTGGTTCGTGCAAATGACGACAGTACAGTTAGCATCGTGATTATTATGGTAGCTATATTTATCTTTCCCTAACATCATTCACTATTTTTGAATTAAAAAGTGTGTAGCTTTGGAACCGCATGGTTGTTACCTTGAAATCAAAAAGGAAGCATTAACCAGTGTAGAGTAGTTTTCTAGCCCACACTGGCTCATCAGCTGATGATGATGCGTTGCGTTTTCATAAATCCAATAAACGTCTGAGTTTCCACAAACTGGATCATGCTCCAACACAAACTTCAAGTTACCTGGCTTCGATCAGTGCACATAAACATCATGTAAACGATAACACAACCACGCCCATAGAGGGCCACTGACCACTCAGCTATTGGCCAATAGAAGTGTCTTTCATGACGTACTCGCTTTTGATTGGATATTTTTTCCAGATGATTTTTGATTGGATCAAATCTATCTATCGGTGTTTTTGTTTTCGCGCCAGACACAGAAACTGGAAGAGTGCTCTGACCAATACACAGATAGAAGTTTAACACGCAGTTATTTATTCTAGCTGTATATTTCTGCTTTTAATTATGGTGGTTTATTGACCATAAAAAATAACCAAATAGCAATTTACAAAGTTAAAATATTTAAGAATAAATTATTTACAGAAGTACATATTGAGGCTAAACTAACATTACAGATTAATTGTTTTACATATGCATGTCACAAACTGTCTGACTGCAAAATTGTCAGCTAATGATCTACATGCTCTAAAGTCCTGTGTCTGTAAAAGTAGCAATTCACATTTAGTTCAGATGGTTTTAGATGGTAAAAAGGTCATATTATTGTCAAGAAGCTAGACTAAGTTTGTTCATTATAAGACAACAGCCACTGGCCAGAACTTTTATGGGTAAGAATCCTTTCACTTGTGCACAAAACATCTATTTTGACCAATTTGATCCAAATAGGTGCACCATACATGCGGGTGAGGGCACCGAATGTTTTACATTTGATTCAAAGATGGTTTGAATTAGACAAACTGCATTTTTACATAACAAAAGAGAATCAAAACAATTTAAAGCTGAAATTTTGGGAGTGGCGGCCTTGTGGTTTGGGCATATGGCTTGAAATCCTGAGGTTGTGAGTTTGAAACCCACGCACACAGACTGCCAATCTGGCTCTCTGAGCAAGACCCTTAAACCCACACTGCTCACCGGGCACCGCAAATGGCAGCCAACTGCTACCCAAGGGGATGGGTTAAATGTAGAGAGTGAATTTCGTTGCTCTGTACTTGTGACAGTGTAATGACAATAAAACATTGGAGAAAGCATGCTTTTCACTATTTTTGCATCTAAAGGCAAATAGTAAAATGATGCAACTGCCCCTAGGACGATTGTTACCCATTTTACAAATACAATATAGAACTGTTATTAATTAAAGAATTGTTTTTGTAATTTTCAAACAGTGGCACTATGACTTTTTTAAATAAATATCTTAAAATAACATTGCAGTGTTATTTATCAGATTTGATCGGATGAAAGTTTCATATTTGTAGTTGCCTTATGTGCAGATGTCAAAGATTCTCACTGATCTAAAACACTGTAGGTTTTTAGTGGTATAGGGAACAGTCTGTGAAAGAATTCACTTTTATTTTGTCAACTGTTACTACATGCTTTCAATATGCAAAATTTACCTTTGAGAAAACTAGGTTTCTAAAACCACAACTGTAGAAAATGCAACTATACTATATATTTTTTATAAAATGCCATTAAAACCCAGTTAACTACTTAGGTATATAAGAACTAAATAATCGGGGGGAGTGGCAGCCTAGTGGTTAGGGCATAGATCTTGGAGTCATGAGGTTCTGAGTTTGAGTCCCACTTCCACAGACTGCCACTCTAACTCCTTGAGCAAGACCCTTAACCCCACACTGCTCCTCGGGCGCAGCAAAATGACAGAACCTTCCTCTCCAAGGGCATGAGTTAAATGCAGAGTTCATTTTGTTGCTCTGTACTTTTGACAGTGTAATGACAATTGGAGAAAAAGCTGGAAAAAATAATTTTATCTAACATAATTGTGTTGTAAACGTCATTAGAAATTTATATTTATGTTGAATAAAACTAACAAAAATGTACTTAAAAAGCAAGAACAAATATATATATCAACATTTAGAATCCTGATATTAACCCGTATGTGTAAAAATGGAAAAATGTCAACAAAATAAAGCATTAGATCAGTTTGTTCAGCATCTTTGAAAAGGAGTTAGAACAAGTATATATTTTTATACACCCACTTTTTTATATACATTTAGTCTAGATATTTTAATATAAGGTTGGATTGTATGCCTTCCAAAAAGTATGATCCTTGTTTTACTGAGGTTTAGTGATCATTTATTTCACTGAAACCATAGACTTATTTTACATACATTACATTATATAATTTGGAAAATCTGCTGGAAAATATTTTCTTGGACAAAAATCTTATTAGGGTAATCTGTACAAATTTCTTGAATTTCAATATTTATATTTTACAGCCATCACTGATAGACTTTATAAATAACTGCAGCACTAGTATTGTACCTTGTGATGCTCCATGTGTTATTCTTTTGAAATAGGATTTTTAGCCATTTATTTGCACAAACTGTTTTCTTGGCACATTAACTCACAGCTGTAAAGGCATGGAAAGAGACACATTTATGCACACACACACAAATTCCCTTCTCCTGGTCTAACCTGGTGAAATGCATTATATTAAACGAAAAAAACGATGAAAAAATGTTTAAAATACTTTAATATATTTTATGATTGGGGGCAGTGGCAGCAGCTGTTGCCACAGCCCCCATTATCAGCCTTGATAAAACCTCATTTGCTAGCTAAACTAGACATTGATCTTGATACATGCTGTAGAGGCAAGGATTCATTTTGGTAATGTCTCTAAGGGTAGGCTGCATGTGTTAAAGGTATGTATGGGCATGTGTGGGTGGAGCTATAAGTGGGTGTTGGCATGTGTTTGAGTGATTGTCTAATTAATATCACCTGGATCTGCTCTGAGGCTGTTTTTGTTTGTTTGATTCAGAGAGAGGCTAAGACAGGGTGCCAATATTTCTGTTGACCGCAAGTTGTAAGCAAATAAGTCTGCAAATCGACCTGTTGTACAATGCCTCACAGAAAAAGAGTACAATAAACATCCCTAACTGCAGAAAAGCTTTATGTTTCCTCCTTGGATTCAGCGCGTCGAACAGATCCCTGCTCTCCTCTCAGTGACTATTTTTTGGATAATAGTCGCCTACATTGTCAACAGAAATGGCAAAAGATCCAACACTTTGATTGAACTGTGCACGTAAGACAATGGACCACTCAGCCTTTTTGGACGTAAACTGTGAGTAAATGTGAATGAAAAGACGGAGCACAGCACAACCTGTGGTATGTTGGATTCAGTTTATTCATACTGTGAAGATCATATCTGTTTTGGACACAGTTGATGCTGGTTACCACTGCGTATTTGGATGCATAGATGCTGTGGCTGTTGGTTATATCATTCAGCTATATTACTCAAGACTGAATTAACTTGTGGAAACTGTGGATCACTCATCTGTGCATATCAAAGTAAAGTTGGATTTGGATGTTTGATGCTGTTACTGCTGATGCTTAAGCCTGAATCAAAGTGTGGACATGCAATATTGGATTGTTCATGTATGGATGCAGATTTATGCCAAAAGACGCAACCCTGTTTGACTTGTGGACTGAAACCTGCTTTCTGAAATTCTGTGTTGCATTATTTGTTGGGCATCAATATGAGTGGATCAAAGGCTGGTTCACAAGTAAATGACACTCATTGCAATGAAGTTGTTAAAAGGAAAACTTTTCCTACTGAAAAGGCCTTGATATGGAAAATGGAAACACTGCAGAAAGAACGCAAAGCAAAAGTGAATAAAATTAAAAGGCCTCATCACTGCTTTAAAGGAGCTCATAGAGAGGAATGTTGATGTTTCTCAGGTGGAAACTGAGTTGGACAAGTTGATGCATTTGCATGAGGAGACAATTTCTCTGCATATGTCACTGATGGAAATAATTCCTCAGGAAGAAAAGGACAAGCAAAAAGTGTGGTTTGAAAGTATCAATAAATATAACAAGGGATTTATTGAGGATGTAAAACAATGGATCTCTGAAACAAATGCACCATCCTTAAGACATGCAACAAATGATTCTGTGGTTGGTAAACAAAACAAAGAATGTGAAGAGCCACCATGTTTGTCACTACACGAGCCTCAGCTTGATGCTAAAGTGTCCTTAGACACAGGACAGGAAGGCTTTCCTGAAAGAATAGACATGCAACAGGATGAAATTCAACCAATTGACAGCATCTCAAATGTTGGAAGCAGAAGACATGGATCAAAAAGTGGAACCTCAAGAACTTCAACCTCTTCTGTTTCATCTTCTCACATCAAAGCAGAAGCTGAAATAGCTGCTCTTCTTACTAGACAGAAATTACTCAAACAAAAGCAAGAGCTGGACCACCAAGAAGAGGAAATCAAGAAAAAGAAAGAAAGATTTGCGCTTGAGATGGAAATAGCTGCTGCTCAAGCTAAGATGGAGGTTCTAAGAGTCTCAGGAAGCAGTGTGAAAGGCAGCAAAAGTATAAAATTAAGTGGCATAGAATCCTATGTGGCCAAAGGGGCTTGTGCTGCTCTTAATGTTGAAGCTAATTCATTTGTGCCTGGTGGCCAAGGAGGGTATGACGCTCATACCACACTCAAGCCTCATCTGACAAAGTCAAGTGGAAGAAAACTTAATCCTGATGTTGGATCTCAAATACCCCAGCAGAGTCAAACTGGACACCTGATGGGACCTAATGTGTCAAATAACATTCTAAATTCTCAGTTAAGTGTCACGTCACATACCCAGCTGCCAGTCAATGTTGATGGTAACAATTTGCTATCTATAATGGCAAGGCAAAATGAAATCTCTGCTTTACTCACACAACAACATAACATTTCTCATTTGCCAAAACGAGATATCCAGGTTTTTGATGGAGATCCAATTCACTATCATGCTTTTATGAGAGCCTTTGAGCACAATGTAGAAAGGCGAACAGAAGACAGTGAAGACTGTTTGCACTTTCTGGCTCAGTACACAAGGGGAGAAGCACGAGAGCTTGTTCGAAGCTGTCAACAAATGCCTCCAGAAAGAGGATATCTGAAGGCAAAGGCATTGTTGGAACAACATTTTGGGAATGAACAAAAGATTGCATCTGCATATTTGGATAAAGCGTTCTCTTGGCCTGTGGTTAAAGCAGAGGATGTTAAATCTCTTCAAGCATATGGTCTCTTTTTAAGAGGATGCTGTAATGCAATGGATGGCATAGAG